TTCATCACGTGCGCTGACGTAACTTCTTTCCTCCATGCCACTCCTCCCTGCTTAGCGTCTAGTGCTCGTCAAGATGAAAGATGAAAAAAAAAAAACAAAAAAACAACTTCAAGACCAGGACAAACTCCTGCAACTATGTGTTTTTGAGAATTTTGTTTGGCAATAGACTGGTAAGGCCATAAACTTTGATACTGAGTTCATTCAATGATTATTCTGAAAAGTGGTTTATGCCCTTTTAATGCAAACGTGGTGACATTCATATTTACTAGAGAACATTGTGGCAATGAGTTATCACATTGTGAATGATTGCTTAAGTTAAAACTGTTTTTTTAAGCAATCCAGAAAAGTCAAATTATAATGCAACATTTCTTTTTCTTGCAGGCATTGTCATAAAAAAGTGGAGCATCACACTTTTGCAGTTTATTAAGACATAATCTGATGTGGCACACCTGTCAGTGGTCATATTTCTACTGAGCCTGTTACCATGCCTTTATAATTTTCACATGCTGATGTGTGTAGGAATTATACAGTCGATTCCGCATATATAAAACGCGGATACAGTGCAGTCCACTTATAACGATACCACATATAACGATATATCGGTTATAACGATGGGTCGACTTAACAGTCTCATTTTATGCATTGGGGCTATGGGGGAAAAAACCATAAACGATATGTTATCCACCGCATATCGGATACAACGATGAAAAGTTTGCCGTGGACGGCATGTTTCATTCAGAATAATCGTAACATTTAGATCGATAAGTTCTTCTGAAACGAACTATGCCGAGACAAGACGAAAAGTTAGCGTAGGCGAGTACGTATCTGCCGCCACTGCAGGACAGCGCCGGCAGCGCGTCCCGGCCGTTCAAAAAGCCGAGGAGAGCATCGCGACTTGGCGCGACGCGCTACAGATGGCGCCAGCTGTGGCACGTTTTGCGCCTCGCCGCGCGTCGACCGCGGAGAGGCTGAGAGAATTTAAAAAAAAAAAATGCGAAAAGCAAAGCGCCGCGCTCCGCGGCTCCCCGCCTTCTACAACGGCGAGCCGGCAAGCTACTCGTAGCTTGCCGAACGAAAGCGGGAAAGAGAGAGAAAATAAAAAAAGCGAAAAGCAAAGCGGCGCGGCGGCATGGGGGCGGGGCCTCGTTGGCATTCCGGCTGTGTACCTCTGGCTGTGCTTTCTTCCTCCCACTGCTCCCACCCCGTCGGTCAGTCTCTCTTCCTCAGCGAACCCGTGATGCGTTCTTCGGCGTAAGAAATAAAGTCTTGTTTTTGACATCCTACTATCTACAATATTTATTAATTGGTGAAAATAGCAAAATGAAGCCTGGAGCTACAAAAGGTACGTCCGGCGACGATTTTTTGGCGGCAGTCCAGATATAACGATCACCGGTTATAACGATCATATTTTTAGGTTTTCTCGATATCGTTATAAGTGGACTGCACTTTTATATCGAATTATTGCCTACATCAAACAGTTGAAAAATCCCCTTGAATTTCCCATGCAAAAGTACGGGACTGGTGCACTCATATATTGAACTCCCACACAGCAGAACATCCATTATATTGAACACTGTGCTGCGCAGAAGCTCCGAGAGTGCATTTTTGCCAACAAATAGCGATTGTTTTTCGGTCGCGTTTTAACACGTTGCAATCCCTTCCAACGCGTAGGTGATCAAAAACAACCATCGCGTTGATCTGGTTTGTTGCGTGAGGCTTGTGAGTGCACTGGTATGCTTTATGTGCCATCAGCATGTTTTAACGTGCGGGCATAGTGTTCTTCGATAAACCGATCGCGGAGGGCATAAAAATGAGCATGCAAAGTGACTCGGCGATCTCGTTGCAATGCCCGCATTACCTGCCTGGTGTGTTTGCACACGTTGGCATGTGGGCCTGAAAAGCATCGCTTTAGAAATGTGCAACCTCGTGGTGTATTTTGGTGTTTCCGGCTTAAGAACGCGTATTTCGGAGGCTACATTTTTTTTCTAGCTTTTCACGCCAGAACAGCAGCTGCTTGCTGTAAAGCCACAAGTGACATCGCCATCGCCAACATGTCGATGATAAGGGCTTGCTCTTTTATTTGTAAACAGCGTTGTCTTCTGTGGCTTGTGGACTGGTTGGCTCGTTCCTGATATCCTCATTTGGGAGTCGAACTGAACTTTGACCCACTCGTAGCAATAAAATTTAAGACTGCTGCTTGGAGCAACGTTGCATAAGGCACCGGCGTAAACTGTTTTGCGCTTTGGTGCCAGGTGCAGACTTCAAGTATGTCGTGATCGCTGACAACTGCTTGCAATGCCTCGTGTTTTCGAGCACCATCTCGAACAGCAAGTGACTTCATCCGTGCAGATGAAGTAGCTGTTTCTGCCAGTATTGATGCAAAGATCTTAGTTGATGTCAGTGCTGGCTGCAGAGATATACAACCTGTGCGGTTTCCGCTGCTAAGCAACCTTTTTACCCCACTAATGAGCCTGCATCAGTGTTCAGCACCAATCAACGCTGATATTGAAGATGATTGGAACTTGGCGGCGCACAAGAAGCCAGACAAGTTTACAGGCTATTTTTATGCGAAATTAAGCGGGGTAACTTGCAAATTTCACACCTTGTTCTTTATTATACTGCGAGTGAATCATGTTAGTGCTTGTTACAATTTCCAAGAACTGTTTTAAGGGCTGGAAAGTCTTAATAGAAGCCCTATATACGCATATTTTATATTTCGAATTATCAATATATTGAACTACCGGAATTACTCGAATCTAACGTGCACCTTTTTTCCGGTTAAGCGAGTTCATAAATTGCATGCGCGTTAGAATCTAGTACGAAAAAAAAAATGAATACTGTCACTCTATTGCCATCGGCATTTCAAAAATGGCCGCCCCCTACGTGCATCGGCATGGCGCGTCAGCCATTTCTGTCATTGTGTTTCCCATGTGCGGCACTTCGTACATGTGCTGAGGAGTTCATCATCTTGTAGTGCATTAACATTGACGGCATGGAAGGGCCGACTCCAACGACTCAACAAGTGCACCATGATGCTGCTCTTAAAAGAAAAGTGATCGCGTGTGTAGAACCAGACGAAAATCGGGCCGCATCGCGGTCGTTCAGAGTTCCCGAAACGTGCGTGCGGGACTGGCAGAAACAAAAGCAGAAGATTGTCGACAGCAAAGCTTCACGTAAAGGCTTCAGTAGACCACAGCAGGGTTGGTTTCCGCAAATTGAAGAGCTGGTCGCCGAGTATGTGCTTGAGCAGCGAGCGGCACAGCGGCGCGTGACGACAGAACTGCTCTAAGTGCGGGCTATGCAGTTAACCTTAGAAGAAGGGGTAACGCGGAGCCAGTTCAAAGCGAGCAGGTGCTGGCTAACAAACTGTATGAAGAGGAAAGGTTTTTCCCTCCGAAGGCGAACGGGCATATGCGAAAAGTTGCCGGAGGAGTACGAAGAAAAGCTTCACAGTTTTCAGAGGTTCATCCTAAACTTGGGGCACAACAACGGCTACCTGCTTGGGCAAAACGGGAATGCCGATCAGACGCCTCTTTACTTCGACATGCCTGGCACCACAATCGTCGAGAAGAAGAGGGCGAAGTAAGTTCGCGTGCTGACATCGGGCCACGAAAAGCTAGAGTGACGGCCATGCTCTGTTGGACGTCAGAAGGGCACAAGCTCCCCCGTACCTGATATTTAAACAGAGGACGCTCCCGAAAGAAGTCGTTTTCCCGAGTGGTGTGATCGTGCCGGCCAACGAGAAAGGTTGGATGACGACGGACCTGGTCGCCGATTGGATCCATCACGTCTGGCGGAAGCGGCCTGGCGCCGGTTTGCGCCTACGAGTGATGCTCGTGCTCGACGCGTTCAGGCGCCATCTCGACCAGCGGATTAAGGACAAGCTCGCTGCGTGCAATACGGACCTTGTAGTTTTACCTGGTGTCATGACGTCACAACTTCAACTGCTAGATGTCTGCCTGAACAAGCCGGTGAAGGACAAGATTCGGGCACTTTACACCAACTGGCTGATGAATGGACGACATGATTTCACGCCAGGCAACAGGACGAAGTTGCCTGGCGTGAAACAACAAGACTTCGCTACAAGACTTCGCTGCATGGGTGAAGGACGCGTGGTGTGCAACACCATCAGCCATGGTGATTAAGGCATTCAAGAAATGTGGCATCTCGAACGCCATGGACGGTACCGAGGATGAGATGCTTTAGGACGTTGACAGCGATAAGGAGTTGCCCGACAGCAACGAGGACTGACCTATTACGCTACTTAACGCCGCCGTAGTGGTCACAGTTTTAGCTGCAGAGCCGGCTGTTTGACTTTGTGTTTTATCTTTCGAAATTTCAGTGCGTCAAAATCCAAATGCTTAGTCTCCATATGCGAAGGTTGACTCCTACGGACTTTTTTTTTTTTCTTCTTTTCTCTTCTGTCGCAGAGAATGGGTGAGCGTTACAATCGATGTCTTACTTTTTTTTTTTCGTCATGGAAACTGGGTGCGCGTTACAATCAAGGGCGCGGTAGAGTCGAGTAAATACAGTATTTCGTCATGCCCTTTGAGGTCAATATATCCGGGATCGACTGTACTACACTTACGCAGAAGCAATCATCATTAATAGACCTGTACTTGCACATGTTGCAAAGGTGGAAAATTTTTTGCAACACATCATGGTGCCAGCCCCACTGCAAGTTTAGCAGGTAAAAGTAACTTTACCATTACGGAAAGTTATTCTGGGTTGTTTTACCCAAAAGGCACACAAAAATCACTACGGTGTTACAAGCATTAAGCCAAGTTTCTATAGAAACTGGGCTGAAGATTTGCCACAAAAATGCTTGAGTGATCATGTAGCAGACCTGATGTGGATACTACATGTTACTGAAGCCATAGTATATACTGTATGCTCCAAAGTTGTTCCAAGGCCCTTGTGTAATCAGATATCTTTGATGGACGTACTTAAATGCATTCCAGCATTATAAAATAAACAAATGTAAGATAAACAGGACATACCATAGACACTATTTGGTGGTTTCTCTCCAGTAGAAAAAATGACAGTGAGGAGAAGAGCTGTATACTTCATTCTTTCTATGTCTGTAACACAGTAACCAGAAAAAAAGTAAGGAAAGTGTGACAAATGAAACAGTGAAGCACAGATCACTTAATTTAAAGACTATCTGAGGAGAGTGAATTAGGGGGTTCTCTAAGTATGTGTAAATGTACAATCACTTCACAATCAAAGTAAAAAAGATGCTACTAAGAAGTTCTTCACAATTTTTGGAAGTCAAGACTTACAATGCAAACTCTCTTCTGCATCTACTTTATTGAAAAGCATTGCACCCTGTTCAGAAATTGATTCAACACACTAAAGTTCACTTCTTAAACTTATATATCACACAATGTCTGCCACTCTGTCCAAGAACGCACTAGAAAGCATTGAGTATACTTCTCAAATAAGTGGCATCATGTTTCATCTTGTACATTACAAACTTCATTACGACAAAGTGCTTGCTGTAAATCGTTGCCTCAGATTTTCATTACTTTGTTCTAGTGTAGATGTATGTAAGTGTGCATACCACTAGTTTCAACTTTAAAAATCTCATCACTGCTATAAATTAGGGGTCTGTGAATACCTGAAGGCTCCAGATAAGTAAAATAGCGTAATTTTCAATTCGATATTCAAATCTTGCCAGTTTTCACAAATGTGCAATTAATGATGCAAATATCTGCTTCAATCATCACCACAGTATTAAATATTTCAATAAATTTGATTCTGATCCTTCCATTCACATTTTACTTGAATTAAAAAAAATGACTGCTATTTGCATACACCTGGGTTGAAATGGTTACATGGGTGCCAGTGATAAAACTACTGAATCCGGTGTGGTGTAGTACTGGCTTGTAACCTAGAAAACTTGAGGAAACAGTACACATAATCAAAATGCAAACTTAAGAAGTTGAAAGTGACCTGTGCCACTGAAGGGCGCGCAGAAATTCAAGATTTAGTGATGAATACCATTTTCTGCTGTGATTTCTAACAGCTTCATGTTAGCAGAACTAGTCCGGTCAAAAAAATTTTTTTTATGGCAACTATATTAGCTGCCACTCTGTTACATGTCCAAATGAGTTTGGCTGTGCACACAAATGAATGGGCGCTTGGACCAGTCAGCCATGAACAACAGCATTTTTGCCAAGTTTGTCTAAGTGTTTACAAAGTGATACAGTACTACAGAGAACTGTAATATTATAGTGAGGAAGTAGGTGTTACCGAACATCCACAGTGCTACCTAGAATGCAAGTGACATGCTTTTTGCAATACTGTGCAATACCCATATAATACAAAGCAGGCAAATACATACCTGATTAAAAATAAAATTTCTAGACCCAATGCAGCAGTGAAACAGTGAACAATATCTAATAGGCAACTATTAATTAAGATGTAGACAGCATTACAAAGACATTTCCAATCCTTCTCATCCGTGAATTCTTACTATGCAAAACCTTTCCAGCTGTGAAAGAAAAATTGCTTGAATTTATTTCTGCTCGCTAAACGAACAAGTTTCAGCTGTAATCAGTGGTACAAATTTCAAGTCGTACTAATACCTCACGTGACCTAGTAAGTTTCGTGAAAGCACTATTCTACTTTATCATACAGTTTACCTGTGGTTCGCTTCTTATAAATGCTGCGTTACCGCAAGTGCAACTTAGTCTGGGCATTATTCTGCAAAAAGCTCAAATTTAGGAAAAAACCCGAATAATGAGCACTTCAATCACATAAAAATTTTGATGTGATATAAATGGACACACAGTGATATACTATCCTTTGTCATTAGGGTATTTGAATAAGACACTAAAGTCAAATAACAATGTTCGTCAGAGTGACATTTTAAATGACAATATTATCAAGAACAGTGCCCTACTTACCAAGTAATTAAGGTAAATACATGAGAACAGATGCACCACAGTAGGACATTCTCAAAATGATCCCTATGACGTCAGAGTTACAGCTTACAATTAATAACTAGTAATCCAACTAGCTGCACGAAATAAAAAAAACCTTCCATGCATCAAAAAACATAATAAAATGCTGCTTGTTCGTTTCTGTTTGATTCATGGAAAAAAGAACCACCGAACGTTTTTTATGGGGAATTGCGTGAGTGGTTCAAAAGTTCAGTTTTCGCTTGGTTAAACTGGACAGGTCGTGCTATCTACCATGGGGCCCAGTTGAATCGAGCACGTCTGCCACCGCAGAGCCAATGGCAGAAAAGTGTTAATGGCTGTTGTTGCTGCTGACGCTCCCGCTGCTTTCATTTTGCTGCTACTAGTGTCGCGCAGCCGCACAGTAAAGCCGGGTAACACAATGCACAGCAATAGCGACATGAGACGTTCTGTTTGAGGCGGGTAAATTAAAGTGCGCTAACCCTATGCAGTCCATTAAAACGCAATTTTATTTCAAAGTAAGCCCTTCATTGGCATAACAATAACACTACGAGGCTTCTAGACTGCTATTTCAACAATCAACGTCAACTTAATAGTTGCCTTTAGTGTCCCTTTAAAACATAGCCAAGACTCAATCTAATGAACATGGGCATTATAACAAGTTATTGGACATACCGTAGTTACTCGCATAATCCTCTCACTTTTTTTGCCGTAAAAACGATGCAAAGTTGGGGGGTTCGAGAATTACGGGGGGAAAACTTTCCACGAAAACGTACAGAGCGAAAAAGAAAACAAAGTGGCCGCAAATCGAGATTCTCACACCAGCAATTAACAGCAAGCTTTAAGAAGTACTAATTAAAACTTATCTCAACAAGAAAAAATAAAAACAGAGGTTCAACACAAGGCAAGATTTATTTGAGAGACGAAAAGTGGAAGCAAATGGTCGAGAATTAGAATGCCATACACAAAGCTTGTGGGCGTTGCGGGCGTAGCGGTATGGTTCGTCGCACAACAGGAGCCCTCAAAAGGTAAGCGTAGGACGTCAATATTGGGCTGATAGCTATTTAACAGAATCGTACGCAGTTTCCTTCTGAAGAAATAAAGTTTACCATCAATCCCAGCTTTAGGCATACGGCAGGCCTAATGCGTCTTGGTGGCTTTCAGCTGCCGTCACCAATAGCGAACACAAAACTCGTAGACAAATGGCGGCCCTGTTGCCGTTGTTTAGTGCATGATTTATCACTTGCAACTTGAAGCAGCCATGTAGCTTCAGTATCGCCCCATAACGTGTCAAAATTACCGACACAACATACAAAACACCGCAACGCGCAGTGGCCACTTCGGCTTGGCTTAGATTGAATTGAAAATCTGTTCAATGGTACACTTGATGCTTAAGAGATGGCGCGCGCTATCATCATCTCTGGCTGGAACGAGCAGACGACTTTATTGCTGCAGTTTTTGGGGGTGCGATAATTAGTCGAAGAAAAAAAGAAATCGTATTTTTGTTGGGCGATGTGGGGGGTGCGAGAATTATGCGAGTGCGAGGATTACGCGAGTAATTATGGTAATGAAGTGAATACAAGGTGTTTCAGACGTAACAAACTGTAGGTTGGCTGTGAAAAAATTAAATACATATTGCCAATATTAGCGTGTAATGAATATATAAGCTTACAATGAACATTGCACACGAACTTCTATGTAGTTTGTGACAATACTTGTTACATCATCATGTGCAGCAAGGCAAAATGCTGTTTGTCAGCTTTTCATGCCCGACATTATGTGTCAAGTTTGGTAATATACAAGTGGCAAATAGCGATTAAAAAGGTGTTTTCTGACCATCAGTGTTTGATTGAAGGTCTCGTGCCAGCTCCATGGGTAGCACTGAATGCAACAGCAGTGAGACCACCTGTAGGTCCAGCTCACACAGGGTTAGGAACACTCTCAGCATCCACACACGCAATGAAGCTCGTGGTTCCTGCAAACACCTACCTGTCAGTTCAAAAGGGAAGGAGTCGAGCCTCATAGGTAGCTTTGATACATATGTATCACAGAGGCCCTGGGCATGCACTTAGCCATAAATCATTAGCCAGCTAAATCATACAGCTACTTGAAACTAAACCGCCAATGCATACATTTTACTCCGAGAGAGAGAAAGCAAATTTATTCGAAGGCCGAGAGTGGCCAGTATTGCTTGCTTTAAAGGGGTGCCGACACAAAAAGTTTGGCCTCACGTTTTTTTTTTTTTTTTGCTGCAACGTGTTATTGGAAGCCTGTTAGTCAAAACATGGTACATCATTTGAAGCAGCGTGCGACAGTTATTACAGTCGAAACCCGCTATAACGAAACTGACGGGGCGCAAAAAAAAATTTTGTTGAAGTGAAAATTTCATTCTAGCGAAATAGAAAAAAATATATCTGAGCTGAGCTAGCAAAACAAAGGAACGTTCATTTTCAAAATTAAAAAAATGTCCGCTGCCTAATGTCCGCTGCTTCCTATTCTTTCCTAGCAGCGTCACGATGTGATTCTCACCCATGCATAGCAAGGCCATGGTAAAAAGCCTGCTGAAACAACGCCTAAAACCACTTTCGTGAATGAACTATACAGTTGCATTAACACGTTAACACCAGCTGATGTCCGCCGTCAAAAGTATCCGACAACGCCGAGATGGAGGCTGGGTATCGTGGAACGGGGACTTTTGCATTATTCTATGCCATTCTTACCATTCGTTGATTGGGGCTAGCCGATTTTGTTGATAATGCAGATGAACAGCCGCTCTGATTAGTTACCACACTGGCCAAGCGCGAACATAATGATAAGCATCGGAAAAGGCATAGTGTCGCGGTAGTACCCAGCAGCTGCGAGAAGGAAATCATGAACTGAGCAACTGAGCTTCAGCTTCGGATCTTCTATGGCTCAAAAGCAAGCCAGTGGTAAAACAAAAGCAGGGCAGTCTCATTGCCATCGCTATCAAGCAATGGCGGCGCCCATGCTTGCTGAACAGCGATAGTATAGCGGCGGTTTCTGGTGGTGCCAACACGCGTTTCAGACTTCGTTGACGCATTTTAAGGCTCTGAAAATGTATCTAAATGTTAAAGGTTGGGTTTGCTGCATAGCAATAAGTATCCGAGCCAGGAATTGCATCGTAAAATTTCGTTGAAGCGGGACAATCGAAGAAAAAGAGTTCGTTGTGGTGACAATATTTATGCATTGAATCCTATAGACTGTTGAAGGGGAAATCGTGAATTGTTCATTGTAGTGGAAATTTCGTTGAAAGGCGTTCGTTGTAGCAAAGTTCGACTGTATTTACAGGCTTCTCATTACCGACCAGTGTCAGTTTCTATTTGAGAGAGCTCCAAAACAACGAGCCGCTGAGTGCAACTATCACCACCTAACATGTGAAACTTCCAACCCCGTCAGCACACAGAAATGTGATGCACTGCCACAAGGTTCACTTCAAGAAATCTTTTCAAACATGAACTGGGACAGCGGCGTCGCCAAACACAAAACTTTCAATGCGTGCGTCACAACTCACGAGCAGCTGTCAAGTAACAGTCCGCTGGATCAAATGTGGCAAAAAAAAAAAAAGGCACCTATGATGTCCTGATAACTTGTTGCAGCATGGTCACATGAAGGAGAGAGGGGGGTCACCAAGCGTCACCTTTAATGGCGTCAATAGCATGAGCAAGTCAATTACTCACACAAACTTCAAAATTACTTTGAAATATCTTCCAAGCTATATTCACTATTGTTATTTTGCAGATTATATACACATGTCCACGGCAATCGATCCCACAGGCTATCTTGAACAAGAAATTTTGTGTCAGTACTTTTTTAAAGTGTGCCAGTTTGATGAAGCCCATCCAATGGCATTACATGTTGATTGATAAGTGGCGTTGAACGTCCCAAAACAACCATATGATTATGAGAGATGCCGTAGTGGAGGGCTCCGAAAATTTTTACCATATGGGGTTCTTTAACGTCCACCCGAATCCGAGCACACGGGCTTACAGCATGTTCGCCTCCATCGAAAATGCAGCCACCGCAGCCGGGATTCGATCCCGTGACTTGCAAGTCAGCAGCCGAGTACCTTAGCCACTAGACCACTGCGGCGGGACTGACATTACATGTTCTGTACACCTAGATGAACACTTACCATTTGATAGTAGAGTGCTAAAGTTGAGACATAGTCATAATCATCTGCTTGCAAAACTGATCGGGAGACTCTAGGATCCGCATCAACCTGCAAAATATAATATGAGAAGCATTAAAATCAGCAAAAGCTTTACAAGAGCTACTTCGTTGACTAAAAAAAACAAAAAACAGCCCAAACTTTTTGTGCACCAATGCAAGGCCTACAAAGATAGATAAAAAAAATTACAAGAGAAATGAAAAATTATGTGTCAGCCAATGTGCCCATCTGAAAGAAGACCTTTCCCACTTCTCATAAATTGATAATTTCAACAGATGATTTGATCTCAGCTTTCATAAACATATGAATGCTGATCCACAGAATGATTGTAATCAGGATGCAGATTGTGAAATAACGAGTTTTCATTCCATAGTAATGTTTCGATGTATGGTCACACCACAGGGTTCCTCACAAGAAAGGGTTTAGTCGTGTCCAGTGCTATGTAGTTCGTGAACATACTCAAGAAAAAATAAATGAAAAATATGGGGCGAAAACAGTCATATGTAGATCACGTGTTTGATACCCCTAGTCTACAGGACCGAGTCGCCACGAGTTATGAATGCTCTCATTTTCCTCAACTACACATGCTCACCTTCAGCAGCCACACACTCAAAGTGTCACGTTTCAATCTCGTATGACTGCACAATGCAGTTGAGCCCACATATAACGGCCCCACTTAAAAAGAACTTGCGCTTAAAACGAACAATATCCGCATGACCGTGAAAATATACATTGTTTCAATGGCATAAAATCGCACTTACAACGAACGTCGTCGATCGATTACAGCGAACGGAGTCGGTGCTCTGCTGACTTCCCGGGAAACTACTTTCGACAATGGATCAGGCATCGGCGAGGTGCCCATAGATTCTTGTTGTTAAACGCCGACCCTGCCTTCACCCCCCTTTTCATCGGTTAATTGAAACAGTGGTTATTGGTCCCCTACGGTTAAACGGCACAAACTCTTAAACACAGCATATACACGCTCATGCCAAAGGTAGTCTGATAACCATGGCAACACCTCGAGATCGAGAAAAGCCAATCCAGTAGCCATTCTTGCTTGTGGCTGTGGGAGCAGAGTCGGAGGTGCGTTAGGCCTATTTGTGCGGCTAAGGGCGGTGGATCACGGTGTTATTTCAGCTCGATGGAAAGGAAGTGGCCACACTATGCACTCTCGCTTGAAAAAAAGCTGCAAATTCTTCAGGAGCTCGATCGACGCGGCTTGCCGAAGATGGAACTGGTGAAAAAATGCATCCTGAAATCGACGCTGTCGCGGATCTGGAAAGACAGAGAAATGATTGAAGGCACTGTTAAGAACGGGACCTTCACATCTAAACGGACGTGGATGCGGACGGCGCCTTATGAACAACTAGAAAAAGTTATTTTTCTGTGGTTCAGGCGTGCACGGAGTTCCAATTTGCCCATAAGGGATTGATTCTCAAGCACAAAGCTCGAGAGATCCCCATGCAAATGGGTGTTAAGAACTTTGTCTTAAGCGACGGATGGCTCAGCCGCATCATAACACGCCATGGCTTAGTCTTTAAAGGAATTTCAGGTGAGAATGGTGCAGTCAACAGGGACATTTGCACTGACTGGCAACAGAGGCGGCTTAAGAAAATTTTGACGAGCTTTGAACCACGAGACGTTTTCACCGTCGATGAGATGGGTCTTTTTTATAAGGCACTTCCATCAAAAACTCTCATCTTCAAAGGCGAAGCCTGAAGTGGAGGAAAACACAGTAAAGACCGCATCACTGTGCTGGTGGGTGCAAACATGGCAGGAGATGAAAAATTGAAGCTGTTGGTTATAGGAAAATGAAGGCAACCACGTTGTTTCAAAGGGGTTTGACACCTTCCTGTTGCGTACCACGGGAACGCAAAAGCGTGGATGACCATGGCCATTTTCGAAAACTGGCTCCGGGAGGAAGACGCAAAATTTACAAGGCAAGGCAGGAAGGTTGTCTTCATCATGAATAATTGCCCAGCCCACAGTCAGGTTCAAGGACTCCAAGTTATCACTCTGGTGTTCTTGCCAGCCAATGCAACGGCAGTGATCCAGCTGATCGATCAAGGGTTTATTCAGAACATCAAAGTTTATTACAGCAGACAATTGCTCCATCAAATGCCGCTTAAAGCAGGCAGCGGGAAATTCTACAGCACAGATTTATTGGCCGCCATCCACATTTTGGCTTGTGCTTGGGAGCAAGTGAAGGCAACAACAATACACAGATGCTTTCACCATGCTGGCTTTCAAACGCAAGAAAGCAGTACTTGATGAAGGAGAAAGCCCTGCTGATTCCGACATTGAGACACTATTCAGTCAGGTCGTGCCCTCTGCCCCTTTCACGCTGCAGGACTACGAATCAATTGATAAAAATGTTCCCACCTGTCATGAAGAGACGACTGTGGAGGAAATGATTGCCGAAGTGCAAGAGGAGGATCAACCTTCCAGCGATGAATGTGATGACAATACTGCCAATGAAGTGGTGCCACCAGACTGATCAGCTAAAGAGGCTGCTGAACTTCTTCAGCACTATTTGGAGCATTAAGCTTGTCCAGAATTTCTACCAAGTTTGTCAGACATGGGTGCGTACCCTGAGAAAAAACAAATCAATCTTGCCAAACAAACCACCCTTCACTCCTTTTTTTTTTTTCTCTTACTCATCCTCATGAGTAAGGAAAGGTTTGTGCAAATAGAATAAAGGTCTTGGTTCACTAAATAAGTGTACTTTACTTAAATGAAAATTCTGACAAATGAAACAGTTTTATGGATCCCCTTCGAGTTCCGTTTAAGAGGAGTCGACTGTACTTGTATACAATGCAGTGATGCTACTGGCTTAGGCTTCTTTGGAGTAGCCTTTGGAGCAGGCAAATATGTGTTTCGGAGCAGCAAAACTGACTTTAAGAGCAGGCATTGCTAGAAGCAATATTGAGACACATACCGTACTGCATTTATGACCGACAAATAAAAGCATGATGTGCTGCATGCTATTCAAGAATAATAAAAATATAAAACAACACAGAATGAAAAATAACATTGATGGCTAACCTGACTGTATTTAGACAAGGTGAATGATAAAATATAGTACCATAGCATTTTATTATAAAATGACTGAAGATGACATGATTATTACCAATGAGCTTGTACACACTTGCACGTAAAACCTTACACAAACCTATGTGATGGCAACTATATGCAAAAGGTATATCATCAATAGAAATAGAAGAAAATACATATTGAGTGTTGAACTCGTCGACCAGATGCTAATTAAAATACAACCCGAAACCATCAGAAACTGCATAGCATACTTTGAATCTTTTGCATAAAATTGCGTGGATGTTTCAGAGTCTGAATAGTTTTGGATACCGGGACACTGCCATATCAGTCGAAGAGTAAGAAATTAAGTGCCATCCCAAGCCCAAAAAAAGTCGCTGAACTTGCTTGCCATACAATCACCAAGCAGAACATTTCCTGGACTAGTGACCTTCACAGTTGGCTGGGTTGCCTTTGGTCGCTGCAGCACACGTGATGCGTTTTGGAAGCATTTCGTGGCAGTCTCGGTGTTCACCCAGCAACATGCATGCCAGCGACACAAATATCCGCAAATAAATCAAATGTTGGTTTTCGTACAACCAACTTTTCAGACATGCTTGAAAATTCAGATGTTCTCGCAGCACTGTCACAAAACCCATAGACGTCAGGGTATAAGAAAGTCTGAAATTTAGGACACTGAAGCCTTTCGGCATATGATTTTCCCGATTTCTACTCACATTTTAGGTATGAAACAGTAATAATTGAAGCTGCCGCCTCTCCTGCATCTATCATCTCGCAGGTTTGCAACAGCACTTTTGTGATTAAATCTGTTTGCCAATGTAGCAATGTCCGAAAGCCAGCTTTGCCACAATGCTCAAGTGCTACGGAATGAAGTAACAGAAACTCTTAGAAGGCTGCTATCACAGCGCAGTGCAGCGAAGTATTTATGGAACAGCACCGGGAAGGCTCGGACATGTGATTCTGGCAAGGCGACAAACGTACCAGTACGACTTAATTGCCGACATACCTTCATGGTAAGCATCTTCAGCTAACTACTCGGTAGTGCATGTGGCCTAGCGCAGTTGTAAGCATACTGTACACTTTAATAGGCAACAACCCAAAAGCGTCATGCCACCGCTTGGGCTGCCTCTGTGTATGAGGCCACTCAGCACATGTGCACTGCCTTCATGAACGAGAGCAGCTCACCATCGCCACGTCTGTCAGCAGTAAGGAGCGGTCAGGAATAGAGTGGACATCAAGAACACTTTCATGCATACGGTACAGCAAGTTCCCGGCAGTGACAGCGTCAGCTAAGTTGGCAATGTGCTGCGCACAACTAGGAACGTTCGGCTTCAAGCGGCGAAAAACGCAGAAAGTCGGCGAAGATTTTCGTATAGTGGTGCATCATTTGCATACACACACACACAGCGGAAACAAATGAACAAGTCGTCTGCTCTTTTACCACAGCCCTTGTGTTCAGTGTCATCGTTTCCAGACACTCCATGCAGGGTAGCCGTTAAATCAGTAACGGCTGTTTTGCACACCTTGCTGATACCGTCGGTGCTCATCACGAACCACAAATTTGCAATTGACGATTGGCATTTAATTAAGAAGTGTTTGCAGCAGGTCCTGCATGAATTCGTGAGAACCTGGGCACGCACTAAAATGCCGAATAAGGGTACTGACTGGAAGGCATCGTACAGTTTTAGCTGAGTGCATGGAACAGCTATGGGAATGAATGGCTGGCAGGCTGCGTTCACTGAGCTGCGGCGAACGCCCATTTAAATCTCTCTTTGAAAGCTATTTCTGACATGGCTGTGACAATTTGACCAGAATAGTGAAATAAAAAAGCATGAATTCTTTTTTTTTTGACGGCCCAACTTTTCAGATGATTTCGGAGACCCTAAGTAGTTTAAATAGCCAGAAGTATTGCAGCTACATCACAATAGCAATGTTTGGCCCAGTTTGGATTGGCTTGGCTCGGATGGTGTCGTACGCAGGTGCACCACGATGTCGTTCTTAATGGAGAAACCTCAGGTACCTAGTTTTGCTTCTGAAAGTTAGGAGAACACCGTAGAGTGCAGGTTGGCACATACTTGCTAAATTTGGAGGAAATGTCGCAGGATGTAGGAGCCAAAGAATTCGGGCACAGTTTGGCACAAGTAGTGCAGTGGTAGTACTACAGAATTGCTGCTATGAAACAAATGCGCTCATTTAGGGGCCCACAAATGTGTAGTAGTGCTAATCTGTAAAGCTTACCAAAAATAATATATGGATTGTTACCGTAATTACTCGAATCTAACGCGCAACTTTTTTCCGGTTAAGCGAGTTCATAAATCGCATGCGTGTTAGAATAGAGTACGAACAAAAAAATTACGGTCAATCTATTGCCATCGGCAAATCCGAAATGGCCGCCCCCTTCGTGCGTCGGCGTGGCGCGTCGGCCATTTCTGCCTATGTGTTTCCCATGTGCGGCACTTCGTACGTGTGCTGAGGAGTTCGTCATCTAGTAGTGCATTAGCATCGACGGCGTAGAAGGGCCGACTCCAAAAACTCGAGTGCACCACGATGCCGCTTTTAAAAGAAAAGTCATCGCGTGTGCAGAAACGGACAGAAATCGGGCCGCATCGCGGTCGTTCGGAGTTCCCGAACCGTGCGTGCGGGACCGGCGGAAACAAAAGCAGAAAATTGTCGACAGCAAAACTTCACGCAAAGGCTTCTGTGGACCACAGCAGGGTCGGTTTCCGCAAATTGAAGAGCTGCTCGGCGAGTATGTGCTTGAGCAGCGAGCGGCACAGCGGCCCGTGACGACAGAACTGCTCCAAGTGCGGGCTATGCAATTAGTCTTAGAAAAAGGTCTAATGCGGAGCCAGTTTAAAGCGAGCAGGTGCTGGCTAAGTAACTTTATGAAGAGGAAAGGCTTTTTCCTCCGAAGGGGAACATGCATATGCGAAAAGTTTTGCGAAGGAGTACGATGAAAAGCTTCACAGTTTTCAGAGGTTCGTCCTAAACTTGCGGCGCAACAACGGCTACCTGCTTGGGCAAATCGGGAATGCCGATCAGACGCCTCTTTACTTCGACATGCCTGGCACCACAACCGTCGAGAAGAAGAGGGTGAAGCAAGTTCGCGTGCTGACATAGGTCCACGGTAAAACTACAGTGACGGCAATGCTCTGTTACACGTCAGATGGGCACAAGCTTCGCCCGTACCTATTTAAATGGAAGACGCTCCCGAAAGAGTCGTTTTTTCGAGTGGTGTGATCGTGCGGGCCAGCGAGAGAAATGGGTGCGCGTTGCAATTGATGTCTTACGTTTTTGTTTTTTTTTTTGCGGTGGAAATCGGGTGCGCGTTACAATCGAAGGCGCGGTAGAATCGAGTAAATACGGTACTTTCCGAAGCCACGATATGATTTCATCACAAGAAAAAGCGCGAGCTCACGAGACTAGACAGACAGCTCCCATGTGCCCACGTTGTATCTTAGATGAAGCCATGCCAACCAGCTCAGATTTATACCATTTTAAAGTACACAACATAATTATATGCGGAAGAATCGGGAAATTTCAACCACCTGGTTTTCTTTAACGTGCACTGACATCGTACAGTACATAGCCTTCTATGTAAAGCTCACCAAGATGGTGTACAGCTCTTCTAGAAGACCAAGAATGAGTGCCTCATCCTCATGAATTGGCCAACTGCGTTGCTGGTCATCATTCTTACAGTGCCATAGCCTCCGAAAAATCAGCTGGAGTCGATCCCCATCTTGGCTGGACACCAATGGTTTCTCACACTCCTGCAATAAAATGATGAGAGCATCAGTAAGTCGAAACCCATTATAACAAAGTCACACTGTACACAAAAAATTTCTTTTTGTCATAAAATATTCATTATTTAAAAAAATATTTGCTAACAAGCATAGATGCAAACATCAGGAAAAAGAAAAGAAAAAAAGAACACAATCAGGGGTCTATTCTCAGATTATAATTTTTAGTAACAGTGTTGCTTTGTGTGTTACAGAATCTGAAGTGTTCAATAAATGATTCAACTACTTTCCAGTGATGTCATGTTACACTGGCATTTGGCGTTTTCGAATGTGTAACAATAGACGTGTGAATGCCTTGCATGAGTGCAGAGCAGCTCGAGTGCGTCGTTTTCGTGAGTCCCCACCGCGGTTGAATTCCGGCAGCGACGGCTGCATTTTCAATGAAGACGAAAATGATGTAGGCCCGTGTGCTCAGATTAGGGTGCACGTTAAAGAACCCCAGGTAGTCGTAATTTCCAGAGCGCTCCACTACAGTGTCTCTCATAATCATATGGTGGTTTTGTGACGTTGAACCCCACGTATCAATCAATCAATTAATCGATCAATCATTTTGGTGTGTACTGTGGCTAAGCTTGGCTCTGGCTGCCTCAGATATAAAAAGTGTCAAGCTTTGAATTTTTGTTGTGTTATGGTGTAAAGTGCAGCATAATTTTGAAAGGAGTACTGACATGAATTTTAAATATTTTTCATTGTAATTTTAAATAAGAACAAAGGTTTCAAGAGCCGAAAAAGACAACTGTGGTGTCTGGAAAAGTAGTGCATATATAAAAAGACACTTTCAGTTTGGATATTGAGGGGGTAGCTTCTCCGTGATGTCAGCATGATGTCACAGGGAGACAGCAATTCGCGACATGCTAGCAGCAAATCTGCCGTCATCATCATCATCAGCCTGACTACGTTCACTGCAGGACAAAGGCCTCTCCCATGTTTCGCCAGTTAACCCGGTCCTGTGCTTGCTGCTGCCAATTTATACCCGCAAACTTCTCAATCTCATCTGCCCACCTAACCTTCTGTCTCTCCCTAACCCGCTTCCCTACTCTGGGAATCCAGTTAGTTACCCTTAATGACCAGCGGTTATCCTGTCTACATGCTACATGCCCGGCCCATGTCCATTTCTTCTTCTTTATTTCAACTATGATATCCTTAACCCCCGTTTGTCCCCTAATCCACTCTGCTCTCTTCTTGTCTCTTTAGGTTACACCTACCATTTTTCTTTCCATTGCTCGCTGCGTCGTCCTCAATTTAAGCTGAACCCTCTGTGTAAGTCTCCAGGTTTCTGCTCCGTAGCTAAGTACCGGCAAGATACAGCTGTTATATACCTTCCTCTTGAGGGATAGTGGCAATCTACCTGTCATAATTTGAAAGTGCTTGCCGAATGTGCTCCACCCCATTCTTATTCTTCTAGTTACTTCAATCTCGTGGTTAGGCTCTGCGGTTATTACCTGCCCTAAGTAGACATAGTCTTTTACAACTTCAAGTGCACTATTACCTATCTCGAAGTGCTGCTCCTTTCCGAGGTTGTTGTACATTACTTTCGTTTTCTAAAGATTAATTTTAAGACCCACCTTTCTGCTCTCCTTGTCTAACTCCGTAATCATGAGTTGCAATTCGTCCCCTGAGTTACTCAGCAATGCAATGTCATCAACGAAGCGCAAGTTACTAAGGTATTCTCCATTAACTTTTATCCTTAACTGTTCCCATTCTAGGCTTCTGAAAACCTCCTGTAAGCAGGCGGCAAATAGCATTGGGGAGATTGTGTCCCCCTGCCTTACACCCTTCTTGATTGGTATTCTGTTGCTTTCTTTATGAAGCGCTATGGTAGCAGTTGATCCCCTGTAGATTTCTTAAAGAATGTTTATATATACTTCATCTATGCCCTGATTCCGCAGTGTCTGCATGACGGCTGATATTTCTACTGAATCAAACGCCTGCTCGTAATCTATGAAGGCTATGTATAGTGGTTGGTTATACTTTGAGCATTTCTCTATTACCTGATTGATAGTATGAATGTGGTCAATTGTTGAGTAGCCTGTTCGAAATCCTGCTTGTTCCTCTGGTTGATTGAATTCTAATGTTTTCTTTACTCTGTTAGCAATTACCTTTGTAAATAGCTTGTATACTACAGAGAGCAAGCTGATCGGCCTGTAATTCTTCAAGTCCTTGTCATCTCCTTTCTTATGTATTAAGATGATGTTAGCGTTCTTCCAAGACTCTGGTACCCTTCCCGTCAGGAGACACCTCGTAAACAGGGTGGCTAGTTTTTCTAACACAATCTGTCCTCCATATTTCAGCAGGTCTGATGTTACCTGATCCTCACCAGCAGCTTTGCCTCTTTGCATGCTCTCCAAAGCTTTTCTGACTTCTTCTATCATTACTGGTGGGGTGTCATCTGGGTTACTGCTAGTTCTTATAGTATTAAGGTTGTGGTTGTCTCGGCTACTGTACAGATCTCTGTAAAACTCCTCCGCTATTTTAACTATCCTATCCATATTGGTAGTTATTTTGCCTTCTTTGTCTCTTAGTGCATACATTCGACTTTTGCCTATCCCAAGTTTCCTTTTCACTGCTTTGACGCTTCCTCCGTTTTTCAGAGCGTGTTGAATTCTCTCCATGTTATACCTTCTTACATCGCATACCTTACGCCTATTAATCAACTTCGAAAGCTTCGCCAGTTCTATTTTGTCTGTTGTACTTGGACTTTCATGACTTGACGCTTCTTAATTAGGTTCTTCGTTTCCTGGGAAAGCTTGCCAGTGTCCTGTCTAACTACCCTGCCTCCAAGTTCCACTGCACACTCCGTAATGATACTCGTCAGTCAGATTATCATTCATTGTATCTACGCTAAGGTTGGTTTCTTCACTAAGAGCCGAGTACCTGTTCTGCAGCGACACTCTGAATTCCTGTACTTTCCCTCTCAGTGCTAGCTCATTGATTGGCTTCTTGCGTATCAGTTTCTGTCGTTCCTTCTTCAAGTCTAGGCGAATTCGAGACCGTACCATTCTATGGTCACTGCATCGTACCTTGCCAACCACTTCCACATCCTTCACGATTCCTGGGTGTGCAGTCATTATAAAGTCTATTTCGTTCTTGTTTTCGCCATTAGGGCTCCTCCATGTCCACTTGTGGTTTTCTCATTTTCGGTAGAAGGTATTCAAAATCCGCAAATTATTGCGTTCTGCGAATTCTACTAGTAGCTCTCCTCTGGCGTTTCTAGTGCCGATGCCATAATCTCCTACTGCCTGGTCTCCAGCCTGCTTCTTCCCTACCTTTGCATTAAAGTCGCCCATCACTATAGTATACTGTGTTTTTACCTTACTCATTGCCGATTCCACGTCTTCATAGAAGCTTTCAACTGAAGCATCATCATGGCTGGATGTAGGCGCGTAAGCCTGTACTACCTTCATCTTGTATCTTTTATTCAGTTTAATTACAATACCTACCACCCTTTCATTAATGCTATAGTATTCCTCTATGTTGCCAGCTATGTTTCTGTGAATTAGGAACCCCACTCCCAGTTCTCTTCTGTCTGCCAAGCCCCGATAGCAAAGGACGTGCCCATTCCGTAGCACAGTATAGGCCTCATCTGTCCTCCTAACCTCATTGAGCCCTATTATATCCCATTTAACACCCTCTAGCTCCTCGAATAGTACAGCTAGACTTCCTTCACTAGATAAGGTTCTAGCGTTAAATGTTGCCAAGTTCAGGTTCCAATGGCGGCCTGTCCGGATCCAGAGATTCTTAGTACCCTCTGCTGCGTTGCAGATCTGACCGCGGCCGTGGTCAGTTGCTTCGCAGCTGCTGGGGACCGAGGGCCGTGAGTTATTTGACGTATGCATGTGGGAGGTAGTGGCCAGATACTGCACCAGGGTGGCCAATCCTTCTCTGGTGAGGGAGTGCGTTCCCGGCGGTGGTTACCGGTGAGGCCGCACCTCAGGCCTCTTAATGCAGTTCCATCAACACGCGGATTTTTTTTTTTTGATCCGGTTGGGAACTGCACGGCAACGGGATTTGAACCACGGACCTCTTGCATGCGAGGCGGATGCTCTAACCACTACGCCATCGCCACTGAGATAATGCAAACTACAGGTGCCCAACGTGGCCTCCATTTCTCGCTGAAATTAGCACAACTCACACTAAGAACATTTTGAAGCTGGTCAGGCACTTCAGCACAGCATAGCACAATTTCGGTAAACTTCATGGTTGTGGCACAGCTTGGCACAAAAATCTGCCGTCAAGTCGTGGTGAACATGAACAGCAATGAGTGCATTGTCTCCAGTGACTCCAAAAGCGACTTCTGTAATTTAAGGGGGGAGGCTACCATCGGATACCAACTTTTTTGTTTATAGAGATATCTTAATGAAATTTTCAGGATAGACTTATAGCAAAAGCATTAGAAGAACTACAAAATTTCATCAAGTTATGTTCACTGGTTTTGAAGTTACAGCAGAATATCAGGGTAGTGCACATGGTTCTCTTATTCCAGGCCTGGAGAACTTTCAAAAGGTGCTGGAACTGTGAAATTAACTATGATGATTCCTAGATTGATACTCCAGGGGGTAACAGAGCCCTTTTTTAAATTTCCTTGCTGAAAAGTTTTAGCAGACCATCAAACCTTGTGTTCGTGATTAGGATATTATCAATCAAATTTTGATTAAATATAATAAATAACACAAACAATATATTGAAAAAATGGGCTTGTCACCCCCTCAGAAATTTATTCATGTACATAATAAAAAAGACTTATGGAAATCCAATGAGTGGTTCCAGAGATATGGCTGGAATAAGCAGCCTCACTAGCCAAAAAAGTCATTTTGAGAAAACGACGTTTGAAAGTTTTGAGCACATAGGCAGTTCTAAAATGAACCTGCAGCGTAACTGGAGGTGTCCTTTGGCACTCTCTTTCTTTGCCGCCTTTCCATCTTCTCTAGGAATCGCTTCTTAGCCTTTTTCAAGCACAGAGAATCTTTCTC